TTCAGCTGCAAATGCCTGTTGGTGGGCTTGCTGTGTGGCCTAAGAAGAGGAGCGAACCAGACCGGATACCGCTCACGGCGACATCGTCGATAAACAGCCTTCATCCACATCCTGCTCGAAGAACTCTCGACGAGCGGCCGCATCCTAGTCTGTTTGCACAAACAATGTCAATTACCCACGCCGTACACAGCAAGCCTAGTTCAATTATCACATCTGCCCCACCTTTCGCCCGTGCTTCTTCGCTTTCCTGTACCTTAGCCGTCGGCTTTTACCTTTGTTTTTTTCGCCTTTCCATTTCTAAGTGCCATGCAAATAGCTTTTTGGCCAAGGAGCGCTTGCTTTCAACTGATTTCGGTTTATATTCTACCCCTTTTCCATTCCACATATTTTCTCATTTTTTCATTCGGACTCTTGACGTTAAAAAAAACCCACATTTTGATTGGGACTTTGGCCCCTTTAATTTACAGAAGTGTGAGTGCGTTTTGCTTGTGGTCAGCTTATCAGCGAGACTCTTACTCTCCCTCTCCAAGTCCCATTAGCTTTTTGTTGGGCATTTTACAGTCTTGCTGCTTGCTTGCCACATCAATATGGTTGATAATTTATACTTAGTTCTAGGTATTGATTTGCAAGAGACTTTGTTTTTAAATGTTAACTCAAAACCAACAAATTGCCAGCTTGGAAGAACGACTCCTTTGGACCAATGGCAGGAAATCAAGTTGTGATACGGCCAACATAAATCTTTTTATTTGAACCCTACTTCGTGCCTGACAGTTGGAATTCCTTAGAATGCATTTTTATACCCTTGCAGGGTATTATAATTTCAGTCAGAAGTTTGCAACGCAGTGAAGGAGACGTTTCCGACCCTATAAAGTATATATATTCTTGATCAGCATCAACAGCCGAGTCGATCTAGCCATGTCCGTCTGTCCGTCTGTCCGTTTCTACGCAAACTAGTCCCTCAGTTTTAAAGCTATCTGAATGAAACTTTGCATATAGTCTTCTATATGCTCTCACTGCTATATATGTCGGAATGGGCCGGATCGGACGACTATATCATATAGCTGCCATACAAATGTTCGATAAATTTTTGGAAAAAAAATTATAACTTGGCTGTTTTTCAATATTATTCCACCATTTTTGGGATGAAGCCTTTTTTTATTATTCCAGAATTTTGGTAAAAATTTTATGAAAATCTGACCACTATATCTTATAGCTGCCATAGGAACGATCGGGAAATTAATCGAAAAAAATTATAACTTCGTTGTTTTTCAACGTATTTTAATCTACTTTGACACATGAGCTTCTGGTATTATTTCAAAATTTTGGTATAAATTTTATGAAAATCGGACGACTATATCTTATAGCTGCCATAGGAACGATAGGGAAAGTAATAGAAAAAATTATAACTTCGTTGTTTTTTAACGTATTTTCATCTACGAGATATGAGCTTAAATTATTATTATAGATATTTGGTATAAATTTTATAAAAATCGGACAACTATATCTTATAGCTGTCATAGAAGCGATCGGTAAATGTATAAAATATATAAAGCTGGGAATGTAAAACTGTAACTGTCAAACTGTAAACATAATAAGTATAGGTAAAATTTAATGAAACTCTGTTTAGTGTCTGTTTTCGGCATTATAATTTATAATATAAATATGAAAACCAATCTGCAAGGGTATACAAACTTCGGCGTGCCGAAGTTAGCTTCCTTTCTTGTTCGAGTTATTTTATAAAGAGAAAAAATAAGTAAATTTATATTGTGAATTCCTAGCATACAGTTATCATTTATTACATTTTGCATCAGATACTTGACTTCATTATTGCGCTCGTTATGTATCTTTTATTCTGTAAAGAAACGTTGCCAATATAACCGGCACAGGACACACAGCTGCAGCGAGCTCCCTGGTGCTGCAGCAACGTAAATATTTGCCAAGCAAAAAGTCGCCCTGAAATAATATATGTCTGTATCATGAATGAACGAATATTTGCATGGAAATTGCAAGCATACTTTTACCCCGTCCACCGATTCTGTTTAAAAGAAATCCCAGCACAACAGCATTTAACCAAATCAAATCAATCATTTCCTAGCCCCAAAAAATGCACTGAAAGAGGAGACTTTGTTAGGGGCCGAGCCCTAACATGACAGCAGAGATAAAGTCAGTCCAGCCGCAGTTAAGTGGATTAAAAGACTTAACTAAATTTAGCTAAAATTAAAATGCCATTACTAGTGCAATAGAACAATGCGCGCCCCAGACAAGCCTAAGCCAAGGCATATGAATACATAAGTGAGACCTAAACTAACACGTATGCCTATAATTCGCCTGTGTGCCGGCAAAGAGAGTTCTTTTCTGAAAACTAAATTAACCAAAAATGAACTAAAGCCATAAGAAATTGCCGACTTTTCGCAATAAGAACCCAGGATAAACGGTAAAGCCGTCCATTTGAATGCCTGCCACGTCTCAAATGATGTGAAAACAGTGCCGCCGACAAACCGGCTGCTAGACAGGCACTTGTAGTCCTACATGTGTGCTGGCAGATGATGGCTCGTTGGTATGAGTATGGACTTGGGCAAGTCCCTAAGCTGATGCTAAATACCCCCACAACACGCAGGCAGAAAAATATTTTCTGCACGTGGCAAAGTCCACCGGTGGCCCACGGCAAGACAGACACGGAACATTGCTTAATAAAATTATGAACCACTCGGGGGAATTTGATCATTTTAAAGCGGGCGAAGGTGAATTAAAAACACAAACTGCTTAAAGTTTAAGTGTAATTGAAAAAGACAAACTCGATCCGGCCAGTGTTGTGTGCGAGGCTGCAACTTCCGCAGATAAGGCATTATATTAACTTTATGTGGTCTAGGCGTGGCTGAACTTGGAGTCGAAGTTTGCCGGCTGGGAGAGAGGGAGCAGCAGTCCAGGAGTGATTATGCAAATTCCCAATCGGATCAGACTTGGCTCAGATGTCTACGCCAAGGGATACATTTATTTATGTATGCACTAATAGAAGGTATTTTTATACCCTTGAAGGGTATACTCATGAAAATTATTACCTGAAATCGCCTTATCGCCCGTTTATTTAGAAATTCGCCCTAAAAAAGGATCCAAAGGCAAGTCGCCCTAGACTTGAGAAAAATTTGCCCGAAAATCAGAAAAAAACTAGGCTCATTTTTATAATGTAAAAAAATGGGTTTCCTAAATATGGGAAACGCTTTTTCAAATTATGGTTAAATTTCTCTTACATTTAGGGTAATTTTTCTTGAATTGAGGATAAGTGAGGTGAAATTTTGATTTTAATTTGTTGTTAAAGCCTTTTTTAAAAAGCAAAAATATTATTTTTGTTGTAATAAATAATTCATAATAAAGAATAATATGGTGTTTGTTATAATACAACAAAAATAATATAATTATTGAAATGCTGCAAAAATCCTAGCACTTTTGGTGTTGCAGAAGAGACTTGCCCTTACTAAGAGTTGGCATCGTATAAAATAACTTTAATTTTTGTAAATATAAAATAATATTAAAGGATCACCTCAGAATTTACGTTAAAAAAGACAAAGAAGTTATAATTTTGTTCTTATCAAACTTGTGATATATAACAAAGATACGTAATTTATATCTTTTTAAAAGTTTAAGTAAAATCTTATAATAAATTAAATAAAGTCACCTATTAGAGTGGTAATATTTAGTTTAATTTATTATATGATTATACTTAAATTTGTTTAAATTATTATATGATTTTACCTAAATTTGTTTAATTTATTATATGACTTTACTTTAACTTTTAAAAAAATGGTTATATAATAATTTTGTCTTTAAACCGAAGTGCACTATTATAGCATATCTTTTTCATGATGTCTGACAATTTAAAACAAGCTCACTATTCGTGTTGCTAGTTATAGTTCTTCTCATATCTGAACCTGTAGACAGACGTGACTAAATCAACTTGACTAGTGAATCTGATTATGAATATAAATACTTTAAGGGGTTGAAGAGGTCTTTTTCTGCCTGTTACATCACTTCTCGTTTGGCACTAACCGAACGAGATGGTATGGTTTTCTTTAACGCTATAAAAATAGTTAAAATAATAATAATACATACATATTAGCTTAATTAACGCAGTCAATAAATTATTTTTATATATTTATAAATAAAAAATGGTATAATTTCATAGTAAACTTTTAATGTAAACCTCATTTAAATTAAATATTCTGCTTTCACTTGCCAGACGATACTCGTAAAATTCAATTTGAGTTCCTTTTCGATTACTAGCAGCTGAGATTCGTCGCTCAGGATTCCAAAAGGCCAACTGTCAAACTATTGCGAAATCTTTAAGCCAACTGTCAAAAACGTCGACTTCATTAAAATATCATAGTTATCATCCGCCCGCAAATGCACTCTATCCTTAAACTGTCAATTCACCAGTCCACCCAGCTTTCCTCCAGAGTTCTCTGCCACAATTGTGAGGAGGGGCTGCTTGGTAAAATGTTCACAAATTTCGCGCACTTCCGTTACATTGCGCATCCTTTCTGGCTGTTTGTTTTTCGGTGGCACTTCCTCCAGACAAACCGCAACGGAAGCACAGCCGTGCACTTTTCTGAACCGACCAACCTTCTCCCACACAAAGCATTTTTCGCCATGCTTAGGCCAATAACGAAAGGGGAAATGACAATGTGAATGCACGGAATGCCCGCCATAAAAAATATACGGCATAAGAATGAAATATGCATAATAATAGTAATGAAGTCCCCTCTAGACTTGATTTTTATCCTTCTTCTAGATGAACAACTAATAGCAGGTACGGTAGAAATGCTCGGGGCAAATCTGGTGGAATGTGGGGGTTGTTTTCATGGAAGAGTCAGAGAATTATCCAAAGTGGAGCAAAAACAAATACATAGGAAAAAAACTCCGGCCAAGCCAATAAATCCTAATAAATCCATTAAACAATATTTGTATATATATCAGATCGAAGCCATTAAAATTTATTTCTGGCATTTTACTTTGAGAGCTAATTAAGTGCCGATATTAGTAGAAGCTGGCTGGATGTAATAATTGTGTGGGCCATTGGTTTCGCAGTTAATGAGCCGCAACAAGCTAGCAGACAAAACGGCATGCCAGAGTCGTTGGGCAAAAATGCTGGATTAAAGTTCAATTGAGCGGAGAGGGCAGAGGCCCGTAATTTTTCCCTGAATTAGCGTCATGGGCGACTGCGTCTTCCTATTTAGGAGGCACCCCACCTGGGGGGGTCCAGGCTCTCTTCAGTGTCATCCTCGGAGTCGTCCTCGTATGGATCATCATGGAACTGTGCGTCCTTGAAGTGGACAAGCATAAAAATTAAGCCCACAAACAGAAAAATTGAGACGAAAAAGTTGTCCCTCGCCACTTCCATCTCGATTGTCCCCAAGTACTTCTTGATATTCCAGATGCATCCGGAACACTCTGGCTTCTCGCAGCAGGAGCCGCTGCTCCAAGTGCGATTGCTCGAATCCGTCTGGTAGTCGATCACGCCCAGCACGCCGCAGCATTTGAACTCCTCTTCTATCTTGCCCAGCTCGTCCTTGGCCCAGAACTCGAGGGCAACGTGCCGCGCGAAGTACTCAAACTTCTCCCGGTACATGAACCGTGTGACCGCGATGGTAAGGGTATAAAGAAGGTCCACCAATCCAATTAGCACATACAAGGCAAACTTCAAGATGCTTGGGTTCAGGGCCATACGGATTCCAAGGATCGCGTTCAGAATGTAGACCAGCAAGGTCAGGCCGCGCACCCAGAACAGCCAGTCTCGTAGGGCAACGGGATAGAGTCGGAGGCCGGGAAAAATGTGGGACCTCAAGTAGTGGTGCCCAACAACGTCCAGCATAAAGATCAGTCCCACCACTATCAGCACCACGTTGATCTGCACTACGCAAGCACGCGACACGCGACACCAATGGCAACTCTTAGCCATCACGCACGCAAAGGTTCCAATGGATAAAAGCGGAGTCGGGGGATAGGCAAAAAATGGGAATTCCTGTTTATTTACTTTGAAGTGAAACGAGTTCGGGCTGTCGTCGCTCTGAAGTTGCTCTCCACGCCCGCTGTTGATTTCGTCCCAGTCCAGTGCGGCCTGCTCGGGTGGCTAATACCAACATTTGACTAGCCTCTCCTGCCCCCACTGATTGCCAGCCAGACTTGTTGTCATGGCGCCAAGTGTAAATGAGTTTGCTTCTCAGGAAAATGAAATCCAGCACCTGTTGCGGGCGGGCGGGCTTCCGCCGAGGGATGGGAACGCAATAACAACAGGCGGATGAAATCAAATATTTGTGCGGCGACTTCCAGCAAGCGAATGCCGATTGCTCATATGGCCTTTGAAAATGTGAATTTACAGTTAAGCAAAGCGGCCTGCCACTTAATATTGAGTGTGAAAACATTAATATCCTAAAATACACATTCTTCAACAGGCATTTCCGTCCGTCTGTTCTGCCGTCTGTCCATCAGTTTTAAAGTTATCTCAATGAAACTTTGAAGATAATCTTCTGAATACTCTCTCTGCTATATAAGTCGGAACGGACGACTATATCATATAGCTACCATAAGAAAGATCAGATGTAGTGAGAAGCGTCACTTAAACTGTAACTGTTAATATTTGTGTTGGTAAATATAGTTTAAAGTTGATTATACTTAATTTTTGTTCAACATATGCAATTATACACCTGGCCCTCGCTTAACACGGACTCGTTTAGCACGAACTCGGTCTTACACGGTTTCAAATTGGCTCCCATCCCCCTTTTAACACGCTAAAAACCTCGTTCTTAAACGATTGCAAAATATCGATATTTTTTTTTTTTTGTCGATTTACGCGTTAGTGCCTTTTTTCATGGGGTGCTTGTCGAAAAAGGGGAATACTTTTGTCTTATAAGGAGTGCTATAAAGAAGCTTTAAAAGCCACGAAACAATCAAATATTACTGATTTTTACAAGGAGCCACCAAAAAAGAAACCATGTTAAAGCAAACTTTCTTTAACTATAAATGCTACCAAATGCATTTCATATTATAAATTATGAATTTTTAGTTATGAACTACACTGATAAAAAAAACAAGAATTTTGGTCATAAAAACGAGATTTTTCGGTCACGAAAATGGCTTAAGCATATTTTGGTCTTCTTTGGATATTTTCGGTCACCTTTTAAGTACTTTTTCATTCTACATTTGAGATTTTTCAATTATTATTTCAATCCTTAAAAAAGTTTAAAATAAGAACGATAAACGACCGAAAATCTTAAAAAATGACCATAACGCAGCTTAAATTAAGAACAGAAAAAATTTAAAAGAATTCCCCACATTCTCATATTAAGAACGATAAACGTTTTAAATTGAGACCGAAAATCTTAAAAATATACGATAAAACAGCTTAAATTAAAAAAAACAAAAATTTAAAAGCATTCCCCATATTCTCATATTGAGATTTTTTGATTCTTAAAATTAAACAAAAAACGGCTCATTTTAAGAATTCCATGTGATTATTTCTGGAAAATAAATTCTTGTTTTTATACCAAAAAAAAGATTATTCCAAGATTGTAGGCGACCTCTTTTTAAGAATAAAAAGTCTCTTATTAAGATTATATTTTATAATTTTTATTTTTATTATTTTTTAACGTTTTTTTAATGTATACTTATATATTTTGTCTTATAATTAAATTCTAAAATCATATTAATGAAGCTTAAATTGAATTATCTTATTGTTGATGCTTAGCTTTTAATATCTTATTGTTAGAGCTTACATTTTAATATCTTATTTTATAAATAATATTTAACTTATAGCCACTTGTTTCTAACATATGTTTTTCCGTTGTTAAGGGGGTATAAATGCAAAGGAGGGCTGGTAAAAAAAGAAATATTTCTTATACAAGTCGATTTTCTTTTTCGGCCAACTTCATAGGCTTGAAAATGATTGTCAAAAATGTTAATAACTATTTGATTACATTGTACATATACGGTATCATTTTGTATTAAAAAAAAATGAATTTTATAAAGTTCAAAGTCTTTAGAATTTTTAGCTAAATAGTAATTTGTTTTGTAGCGCGTTCCTTTAAATACAATTTCATCCGTTATTTTTGCGTTTTCAAAGTTCTCGCTTAAGTTACCGCTATAACTTAAATCGTTCTTAGAAGAAATAAAAGAAAGTTCAGGCTCAAACATTGCTTCGTTATCTAACAAAAACTTCGAAAATTTTACACTTGCCTTAATTGCTAAAGAATAGGGAGGATTTTTTCTATTTGTAATATTATTGAAATAAGCTTTAGCTTGTTTATGTTTCGCTTCGAAGCGCATGCACCATAAATGCTTAACTGGTCCGCACATTTTAAGTGAACTAACATAATGCACCAAAAAATGATGCTTTGGCTTTAATGGACCGAAGTTATTTATATACAATGTGTGATGTTTAGCAATTAATGTATTTAAAATATCAAAATCGTTAATGGTAAAAGAAGATTTAAGCAGAATATCGATCATTTTTAAAAGAACTATTAATATTTGCCAAATTTCATTGTTTATGGGAATAAGATCACCAATCATTAAGGGGAAAAAATGAACAAAAGAAGCTACTTCAGACGCAGTCATTTTTAAATTAAACGTTTTTAGTCGCTCTAGACATATTGAAATGGAATCGTTTCCAATTTCTGTTTCACCAAACGGAAATAACTTCTTTCTATTATTTACATCATTTAAAGTTATTATATTTTTACTTATTAAGCTCATAATTATATGACACATATCATATACGCAGACGCCTTCGAACATGTCGTGCATAAGATCGAAATAAAAATTATCATCAACATAAAAATGATTTAAATTGTTGAAAACACATTTTCCCTTAATACCAGTTTCTTTCGCATCATCTTTTATCAAATCTATATTATAATTTTTTTTTTGTTCTTAAAAATGCATCATACTGAATGAAATCTTCTTGCATTTGTACTCGTGTTCTAGTGCATGAGCGACAATACCTTTTAGATTTAAAAGATTGGACAAATCCCATTATACTGTTCACTGCTAGATTGTCTCCAATTATCAGACCAAGAATAAAATGAATTTTTAGCTCTTCACCCTTTACTATAATATCGATGCCTTCTTCTAGTTTTTTAAGTTGCTGAACTAAATGAAAAAGGGCTTTCTCATTTCCATTACATTTTAAGGCTTCGGATGAAATAAAAGCAGCAGGAAATATATAATCAAGCTTTGAAAGGAGGTATTGAGGCATTCTTGGAAAATTAATGTAGCATCCACAAACTGAAAAAACATGAGTGCCTAAAGCATTGTTAATTTGGAAATCATCAAAATAAATGTTGTAAGGAATAACTATTTTTTTATCAAATCGTTGTTTCTCAGTCTTGAATATTTCTCCATCTGCATAATTTACTAAAATTTCATCTGACCTATTTATATTCTTTAATGTACTGTCTAGTAGTTTCGGTATCTGGAAAATTGATTTAAACATAAACTGTAAGGGCATTACAAAAATTTCAGAACTCTTGGGTCCCAAAGTGGGAATACCTTTAAAAACAACTTCGGTTATTCTATTGTTGACAACAAAGTGCTTAGGACTTTCATATAAATTCATATCTTGTAGTATTTGTAAAAGACGATGTTCAGACTTTATATCGATAAACGGATTATTACAGAAATTTAGCAAACTATCTAAGTCTTTGTTCATTTTATCTTTTACCATTAAACTTTTTATCTGAGAAATTACAGTTGAAAATAATGATGATACCATTCGTTGAATACAAAAAACTTTACTTCTAGGTATACAAACTTCGGCGTGCCGAAGTTAGCTTCCTTTCTTGTTTCTTCTTCTTATTAGAATATTTGTTCTTTTTTTAAGCTTTTTTTTTTTAAGAATTCCAAAAAATGTGAAAATCTTAAAAGTAGATTATTTTGTTCGTAAATATACCCTGAAAAATCTCCTTTCTAGAATTTTTGGTCTTATAGTAAGATTTTAAATTAAGAATGCGCAAAATCTCAAAAGAAGATTTTATTTTTTTTATCAGTGTATGAATTAAAATTATGAATTAAAATTATAAATAACGAATTAAAATTATGAATTAAGAATCAAAATTATGAATTATAAATTGAAATTAAGAATTACGATATGAATAAAACATATGATCTCCTTACTTTTTAACATTCTTTAGTTTCTATAAAGTTTAACCTATTAATTAATTATAACTTATAATTTATAAGATGCTACTTTTTTAATTAAATACCAACTTTTAAGTTTGAAAATATGAATAGTATGCTTTTATTAAAGGCATATACATAATAACTTTTGTTTAATTTTGAACAAATGTATGAAACTTTAATAAAAACTTACCAAATTTAAACAATACAAATTTTTTTTGATGCCAATTTTGAATTTTAAGAACGTAACCCCTTATTTTGTACTGAATCCATGTTTCGCTTAACACGATTTCGCTTAACACGAGGTTTTCTAGGAACGTAACCCCCGTGTTAAGTGAGGGCCAGGTGTAATTTAAAATATATTAAATATTATAAATCTGAAATATTGTTATTTATACATTTTAAAAATAATGTTTTTGAAATTTGATCCGAACCAAATAATTATATGCTATTGCATACACTTACAGTTTGCACTTGTAAATACATATGTACTATATATGCTGAAAAAACAAAGTAATGTCAACTTTCATCAACTAACCAATTACATATTGTATTTACAGTTTTATAGTGACAGTTTTACATGCACAGCTTAACATTTTTCTCTACATCTACCGATTGATATGAATAAGATGATTGTGATATGATGAATTTCGATGTAAACGTTTTTATAAATGACTATTTTGACTCTTTATCAAACAATGTAAATCGAAATTCATAAATAAAACAAAATTACAGTCCCAAAGTAGATGCAAATATGTAGAGAAAATGCGAAATTAAAATAGATTTCGTTTAATTATATAATAATATAAATTATTTTCTCTTTTAATTACCCACCAATTTATTTGAAAGGCTTTCTTAAAGGGTAATAGTCAGATTGGGTGATGCGAAACATTCCTACAAAGGAAAAATATTTTCCCAAATTTTAGTTAATATTAGAAACGCCGCAGATATCGACGATTCCAGGATGGCTTTCTCTGCCTATCATATACATTTCTGGTTGGCACTAAGTTATAATACCCCTGCAGCCTTTGGGTAGTTTATACTTTACACTAGGCTTTGAGTCGCCCCGGGTGTTATAATCCCTTTATTCCTTTTTGCTATTACTAACATGAAGTTGAAATGGAGGTATACCGGAACGCAAGATATGGTAATGTGGCTGGCAACTTAAGCGTTCGATTTTCAGCTGCTGCCAATTGACTTATTTAATTAAAAAGTTTTCAGGGCCTAGCCATAGCCCTTTACCCTTTTCGGCTGGTGCCAGCCTGTCATTGTTTATTAATTAAATGGACATGTTGCAGCTGAGTCGATTGTCGCAGCTTTGAGCTGTGGTGTGTCGCCTCTTACCAAAAGTTTGGACAACACATTTCGGATGGCTGTGAGAGGCTACGTAACAAAATCAATGAATGACTTTTAAGCACCTTTAAATCTATCGATTTGATTACTACACAAATCAGTCTGAAAATGAATCTTCTAATACTGGGAGTTTCCAGGTGCAGCCTGTTTGTCCTTCTAAGGGCTAACGGATCATCAACTATTTATAAGCAAGTGTAAACTTTTACACTTCTACGAAGTGTTACGTACGTCTCATTAGTCAGTTTTTGAGCAGACATATCCGACCCTCAATACCGTGCAATGTGTCAGCCTAATGGGGAGAAGGGTTTCGAAAATTCGCTGTAGCCAGAACTAGGCACTTGCCTTAATTGATTTATAAAAACGACTTTGGGGGTGCTGCTTATGAATTACCCAATCACTTTGTTGATGAGCTTATAATCACGCCACTAACAGCCATATAAAAGGACTCTGCCGACGACACTTGGGCTCAATAATTCAAAGTCAAGGGAAGCCACTATGCAGTTACGAAAGATCTTTCCGGCGATGTACACTCTTTCCGAGGATCTTCCGGCTCGCTCCCGGGACGCGACTCTGTACCTACTGCGCTGCATCTTCCTGATGGGCGTACGTAAGCCTCCCGCAAGATATTTCCTAGCCTACGTCTTGTGGTCCTTCGCTCTGAATCTGAGCTCGACATTCTATCAGCCCATCGGATTCCTCACGGGCTACATAAGCCATCTGTCGGAGTTTTCGCCGGGCGAGTTCCTCACGTCGCTGCAGGTGGCGTTCAATGCCTGGTCCTGCTCCACCAAGGTGCTGATTGTCTGGGCACTCGTCAAGAGGTTCGATGAAGCCAACGCCATTCTGGATGAAATGGACAAACGAATCACGCAGGCCAGCGAACGTTTGCAGGTTCATCGCGCTGTCTCGCTTAGCAACCGGATCTTCTTTTTCTTCATGACAGTGTACATGGTGTACGCCACAAACACCTTTCTCTCGGCGATTTTGATCGGAAGACCGCCGTACCAGAACTACTACCCGTACTTAGACTGGCGCTCCAGCCACTGGCACCTTGCCCTGCAGGCCGGCTTGGAGTACTTTGCCATGGCTGGGGCCTGCTTTCAAGACGTCTGTGTGGATTGCTATCCAGTAAACTTTGTGCTCGTGCTGAGGGCCCACATGTCCATCTTTGCGGATCGATTGCGCCGCCTGGGCACTGATCCGGCGGAGAGCCACGAGGAGCGCTACGAACAGCTGGTGGAGTGCATACAAGACCACAAGATAATACTGCGGTAAGTAGCCAATCGTAATAGTCTAATTAAAGCAAAAGACTAGTCGATGTTAAGATGCCAGGGTTTACGAAATTCTTCTTTCTCATTAAGGAGATATACAAAAAAGAAACAAAAATTGCAAAAAAAAAACAAGAAAGGAAGCTAACTTCGGCACGCCGATGTTTGTATACCCTTGCAGATTGGTTTTCATATTTATATTATAAATTATAATGCCGAAAACAGACACTAAACAGAGTTTCATTACATTTTACCTATACTTATTATGTTTACAGTTTGATAGTTACAGTTATACTTTCCCAGCTTTACATTTTCTCTACATCTACGGATCGTTCCTATGGCAGCTATAAGATATAGTCGTCCGATCTTCATAAAATTTTCACCAAAATTCTGGAATAATTTTAAATGGCTATATCTCAAAATGATGCAATAATATTGAAAAACAGCCAAGTTATAATTTTTTTTCTAAAAATTGATCGAACATTTGTATGGGAGCTATATGATATAGTCTTCCGATCCGGCCCGTTCCGACATATATAGCAGTGAGAGTATATAGAAGACTATATGCAAAGTTTAATTCAGATAGCTTTAAAACTGAGGGACTAGTTTGCGTAGAAACGGACAGACGGGCATGGCTAGATCGCCTATCTCAGTAGATGGATTGGTATTCATTCGAATACATATGTATGTACATATATGCAACACATTTCACTGCTGCCACTGATTTGAATTGTAAACAAATATGAAATGTATGCTGAAACATTAAGGAATGTATTATAACATATAACATTCTTATTTTTATCATTAACCCAATAGCGAATATGCCCATATTGTTAGGGTACCTAGCGCGAAAAGTAGCAAAAGACCAAAATTCTTGCTGGGCCGAAATGAAACAATCGCACACATGCACCCGTGTACGTGAATGCATGAACACGCATACATGTAAAGGCCTGACGCTAACAGCTGACAGCTAACATGGGACGGGTCGCTAACAGCTAAAGTCTAACAGACTGTCTGTCGCTAACAGCAAACAATTAACATGGGACCGTACGCTAAGAAATTTTTGTGTCCATTTTCGTTGTATGAAATGACCAGTCTATATGTTGTATGGTTAGTGATCAAACACTAATGTCGGGAACGTGAATACATACAGTTCCAAGGACAGAGAAAACAAAAAAAAATGTATCTTCCTCTCTGAGCTAAAAATAGTTTTTTTAAGAATGGTCGTAAGAGCGAGACGGCACTATGACATTTTTGTGTGAGAAAAAAAGAGACAACACTAGAAGCCGTCTCTTCTGAATTTTTAAGATTAACAAAAATCTTAATTTACGATTTTTATTTCTTAAAATGAATCATTTTCGGTATTACTTTATGATTTTTATACCCTTGCAGGGTATTATAATTTCAGTCAGAAGTTTGAAGGAGACGTTTCCGACCCTATAAAGTATATATATTCTTGATCAGCATTAACAGCCGAGTCGATCTAGCCATGTCCGTCTTTCCGTCTGTCTGTCTGTCCGTCTGTCTGTCTGTCCGTCTGTCCGTCTGTCTGTCTGTCTGTTTCTACGCAAACTAGTCCCTCAGTTTTAAAGCTATCTGAATGAAACTTTGCATATAGTCTTCTATATGCTCTCACTGCTATATATGTCGGAACGGGCCGGATCGGACGACTATATCATATAGCTGCCATACAAATATTCGATAAATTTTTAGAAAAAAATTATAACTTGCTGTTTTTCAATATTTTTGCATCATTTTTGAGATATAGCCATTTTATATTATTCTAGAATTTTGGTAAAAATTTTATGAAAATCGGACGACTATATGATATAGCTGCCATAGGAACGATCGGGAAATTAATAGAAATAAAATTATAGCTTCGTTGTTTTTCACCGCATTTTTATTTACTCTGAGATATACGTTTTTTTTATTATTCTAGAATTTTGGTATAAATTTCATAAAAATCGGACAACTATATCTTATAGCTGCCATAGAAGCGATCGGTAAATGTATAAAATATATAAAGCTGGGAATGTAAAACTGTAACTGTCAAACTGTAAACATAATAAGTATAGGTAAAATGTAATGAAACTCTGTTTTGTGAGTGTCTTCAGCATTTAAATCTATAAAATAAACATCAAAACCAATCTGCAAGGGTATACAAACTTCGGCGAGCCGAAGTTTGCTTCCTTTCTTGTTTCTTCTTCTTATTAGAATATTTGGTCTTTTTTTAAGATTTTTTTTTTAAGAATGCCAAAAAATGTGCTAATCTTAAATGTAGATTATTTTGTTCGTAAATATACCCTGAAAAATCTTCTTTGTAGTATTTTTGGTCTTATAGTAAGATTTTAAATTAAGAATGCGAAAAATCTCAAAAGAAGATTTTATTTTTTTTATCAGTGTACTTTATAGGGTCGGAAAGGTCTCCTTCACTGGGTTGCAAACTTCTGACTAAAATTATAATACCCTGCAAGGGAATAACAAGAAGGAAAGGTAACCTGGGCACGCCGAATTATCAAGTTATCGTTCTATGGTTAGCTAGGGAGGGTAAGTTAATTAATAGAAGTCTACTAGGATAAGACGGTAGTCTCTCCTCCTAGGGTTGGCCACAGAGGGCGAAAAGTAAAAAGTTCTTATGTAGAGATTAAATACGGTTAATATGGACTCCAAACTGAGAACTAAGCGAACACCCAAATCGTCAACAATAGTTATTGTCTTCAGAAAGTAGTCATTAAGCGTATCAGTGGCAAACTGGGGAGTGACACGTGAAAATATCATCAGCTTGCATTTAGAGCTATTGAGATGTAATAAATTAGCACGACACCATGCTTGAAAGTTATTAAGATACAATTGCAAGTCTGACTGGCAAGAGCTGTCCTTATACTGCAGGCATTGTTTAACGTCATCAAATAACTCAAAATCCATTTAAGAAGATCGACGGAAAATTCGATGAGATAAAGTTCCTTACAAGAAGAGAGTGATTAACCGAGTCAAAAGCTTTACTGAAGTCTGTGTAAATCACGTCGGTTTGAAAGTTACGTTGGAAACCTCTAATAACGAAAGAGGTGAGTGTCAGGAGATTTGTTGTGGTCGATCTTTGCCTCATATATGCTGACATGGAGAAATTACAGATCTGCATAAATGCTGCAAGTGAGGAGTAATTACATTCTCGAAAAGTTTGGGAATTGCCGAAAACTTAGAGTTTCCTCTATAGTTGCTGACTTCCGATTTGCTACCTTTTTTGTGGAAAGGAATGATAATCGATTCCTTCCAAATATGGGGAAGAGCCCCCGCACAATACCTGAGCACGCAGCTTGGTATTCCATCGGGACCCGGTGAATAAACTGGTTTTAAACGATGAAGATCCAAACTCAGGGAGTTTTCGTTTAAAATTGGACTGAAGATTAGGTTTGAGCTGGGCATAGCAAAAGAGTAAGTCTGATTTAACCTATTTGAGGAAGAATGAGTAATGTTAAAAAACTCATCAAAAGACATCGGCGATGGTCTGATCAGAATTTGCAGAAGTGTTATTAAATGAAAGCGAGGAGGGATATAGATTGGGTTTACGTTTAGTGTTAACAAAGCTATAAAACAGTTTCGGGTCCTGCGTGATCTGAACCCTACAGCGAGTTAAATCATTTTTATAAAGCTGCGCGTTGACCATGGTAAAATTCAACCGAGCGCTAAGATAACTAGAGAGAGCAGTAAGAGAACCGGTGCATTATAATTTATTATAAAGCCTAGACTTAATATTTTGTAGGCGTATTAGCTCTTTAGTGAACCAAGGTGCTTTACTAGAAACCGACGGAGAGGTTAACGGAACACACAATGAAAAGAACGAATTCATGGCACTGTACAAAATATCAACGCCGGACGCCTTGTCAGTACACATGTATAGATCGGACCAATTAAATTCGGAAATTAATATATTTAATTGTTGAAAGTTTGCTTTACGAAAGCAGCGAACCATATTGGCTAAGCGATCAGATTTCTTCTTTACGACAGTTCCCGTATCGATGGTCACTTCAAAAGTAGGACGGTAAGGGTCTTTAGGAAGCGTCAATGGATCAACTCTTGTTAAGTTTACACCTACAGGATTAGAGACGAGACACAGAACTTGTAAGCGATTTAAAGAATTAAAGACGTGGTTGACATAAGACAAAGAAATGTGAGGTCTATGAGGTCATGCTGTGCCGCAGTTTGGAGGACGTACCATCTGATTACCAACCAGCTCCCGGTATATTGAAGTCTCCTAGAGTTACTAGTTGGTCTCTATATGAAAGCATGTTAAAAACGGCCTGAATTGCCAAAAGGTGTTTATTTTCATTTTTTTTATTTTTTATTTTTACTGTAAGTAAATCGAAATGAACCGAGTTTCAGTGAGCCAATAAAAAACTGGAAGGCTATAGAAACCTTGGCTTCCCGCAGTTAGCTTCAGTGCTAGTTGTACTTAATTTGACTTGTTTGGTTGTTTGTTTTTCAAGCTATGTCGACTGTCTTCGTCCAGTGATCTCAGGAACTATATTTGTGCAATTCTTGGTTGTCGGATTGGTACTTGGCTTCACCCTTATCAACATAGTTTTGTTCGCTAATCTGGGATCGGCCATCGCAGCGCTTTCTTTTATGGCTGCCGTGCTGTTGGAGACTACGCCCTTTTGCATACTCTGCAACTATCTGACTGAGGACTGCTACAAACTCGCCGACGCTCTATTTCACTCCAACTGGATCGATGAAGAGACTCGATATAAAAAGACTTTAATGTATTTCCTCCAGAAACTCCAGCAACCGATAACATTCATGGCCATGAATGTATTTCCCATATCCGTGGGCACCAATATCAGTGTAAGCACCATAACGAACCCTTGATCGTTATAAATTACTGCATTTATTCAATTTATTTCAGGTTACCAAGTTCTCATTCTCTGTATTTACTCTGGTTAAACAAATGAACATCGCCGAAAAACTAGCAAAATCAAATGATGACGAGTAACGAAAATTATAAATAAATACAGACACCTTATCACTCACTGATTGAACCCCAAGTTGCCGGGTTAGCCAATCTGAGTTCAATAAATATCCTATTATATTATATACATTTACATATATACATTAAGTGTGTTTTAGTAACTTTAACTATTACATTTTCTTATTCCCTTATGCATGATAGCCACACCCAGAAATATTAAAGACTAATTTCGTGACCAGTAATAGGAATTAGTATATGATTTTAAGGTAATGGGTTACGCAAAACAAACAAATATATACAGTCACGGACAAAAGTCTACGTACGACCCCTTTTTTTGGGTTTTAGCCACTCCTATAGATTTGACAAGAAAAGTAATGATGCAGTCTTGTTTTACATGTTATTACTATACAACAACTAAAATTTCATTTGAATTCAACATTAACTTTTAAAGTTATAAACAAAAAAAAGGAAAAACGACAGTGACAAAAGTGTACGTACGATTGCTTACTATGCACTTTTATGATATAATATTGATATAAGGAATAAAAGTTAATATTTTTTGGGTTACCATAGACATCAATAACTGCTTATAGTTGTCTGGGCATCGAAGCCACCCACTTATCCTGCTTCCTCTTCCTTATTTTAGTCCACTCCTCTTGTAGCCTCTATTTAAGGATAGGAGCACTACTTATTGCGTGTTTTCGACCTTTCTGCTCAATTTTTTCCCAATATAATATATAATATTTAAGTCCTAAGTCCTAAACTAAAAAATAATTGCCGGGGACCATAATACACCAGCGAATCCCTCACGATTTGCGCCGTACGCTCGTCCTGTTTGAAGATCTAGCTCGTAACGGGGCATAATTTGTCCAGATATAATGTCCAACAATGATCGAATATGGTGTTTTCCTACAAACAATCCATATTACACTCGACAAGGACCAAATTTTCAACTTCCGGGGCTGTAGCTGCTACCGACACCACGAAACTTCCCACCACCGTGCTTTTCCATAGGAATAACATAGGAATAAGATGCTTGGTGGGGGTTTCATGGTTTGGGGCGTAGTTAACGCCTCGGGAATAGGAATTTAGGCCTTTATCGAGTGTAATATGGATCGTTTGTAGGAAAACACCACATTCGATCATTGTTGGACATTATATCTGGACAAATTATGCCCCGTTACGAGCTAGATCTTCAAACAGGACGAGCGTACGGCGCAAATCGTGAGGGATTCGCTGGTGTATTATGGTCCCCGGCAATTATTTTTTAGTTTAGGACTTAGGACTTAAATATTATATATTATATTGGGAAAAAAATTGAGCAGAAAGGTCGAAAACACGCAATAAGTAGTGCTCCTATCCTTAAATAGAGGCTACAAGAGGAGTGGACTAAAATAAGGAAGAGGAAGCAGGATAAGTGGGTGGCTTCGATGCCCAGACAACTATAAGCAGTTATTGATGTCTATGGTAACCCAAAAAAATATTAACTTTTATTCCTTATATCAATATTATATCATAAAAGTGCATAGTAAGCAATCGTACGTACACTTTTGTCACTGTCATTTTTCCGTTTTTTGTTTATAACTTTAAAAGTTAATGTTGAATTCAAATAAACTTTTAGTTGTTGTATAGTAATAACATGTAAATCAAGACTGCATCATTACTTTTCTTGTCAAATCTATAGGAGTGGCTAAAACCCAAAAAAAGGGGTCGTACGTAGACTTTTGTCCGTGACTGTATATGTTTTGGCCTTGTAAAATAATTCTTTAATCGTTTAAATACCGCCGTAAAATATAAAAGAGAATAAAAAAAGTGATGCCTAATTTTAAAATGATCAAAATAATTCCCTACGTGTACATACATGCGTAAGCTAGTTTTCCAATTGCATGTTTTCTGTTAATGCATGGTACTACGATAAGAAAAATCCATTCTAAAAATTATTTTAGCGAAATTGCTAATTATTCAGCTTGGGAACCATTGTGATCAAAGAAATAAAAGAAAAGGCAAGGGTCACATTGAAAAGTATTTCCAGCTGTTTTTTGAAAACAAACTTTAACAAGAAAGGAAGCTAACTTCGGCACGCCGAAGTTTGTATACCCTTGCAGATTGGTTTTGATGTTTATATTATAGATTTAAATCCAGAAAACACTCACAAAACAGAGTTTCATTACATTTTACCTATACTTATTATGTTTACAGTTTGACAGTTACAGTTTTACATTCCCAGCTTTACATATTTTATACATTTACCGATCGCTTCTATGGCAGCAATATGATATAGTTGTCAGATTTTTGTTAAATTTATACCAAAATTCTAGAATAATAAAAGAAGCTTATATCTCAGAGTAGATAAAAATACGTTGAAAAACAACGAAGCTATAATTTTTTTCCTATTAATTTCCTGATCGTTCCTATGGCAGCTATATCATATAGTCGTCTGATTTTCATAAAATTTTTACAAAAATTTAGAAACAATACAAAATGGCCATATCTTAAAAATTATGCAGAAATGTTTAAAAACAGCAAAGTTATAATTATTTTTCTAAAAATTTATCGAACATTTGTATGGCAGCTATATGATATAGTCGTCCGATCCGGCCCGTTCCGACATATATAGCAGACTGTATGCAAAGTTTCATGCAGATAGCTTTAAAACTGAGGGACTAGTTTGCGTAGAAACGGACAGATGCACTATGGTTTTTTTCGCGTTTTTTTTGGCATAAAGTCAATTTTTTTATTTTTATTTATCTTAAAATTTTTTTTTATTTTTAATTTTTAAACACCCTAGATAGATAAAAAAATATGTAACTTTAACATATGGAGCAACACTGTTCTGCTGGCCAGCTGTTAAAGTCAGCTGATTATATAGCAGTTGTTTTGTATGAAATTGGCGCGAAAAATTGTGCGACTTTGATAGTTTGTTGTGGCAAAAGTTTACGAAGAAGTTAAATGAATAAATATGGAAAACGATTGTCCAGGTATTTAAAACTAAAGTTTACCAATGTTTCTGTCGTTGTTATGTGTTTTTGTCCAATTGTACCGTCTTTTGTTTACGTGTATTTTTAGAACGAGCTTAACAAGTGTAGCTGTGTTTCGTGGATCAGTACTTTTGCATGGCAAAGAGTTGCGAAAAGTTGTAAATGAGAAACTATTAAGGGGGTTTCCTGAATTAGGAGGCAAAAAAAATCGATTTTTTTTTATTGCTTAAATCGATAGATAAACTATCTAAGAATATACCACAAAAATTTCAGAAGCCAATTCGAAGTATTTTCGAAGATACAGAGATGAAAGCAAAGGAGCGCCGAGCAGGTTTGCAGGCGCTTGGCGAACTTTGAAGCGCGTTTTCTCCACTTTTAATTTTTACGATTCTTTCGAATTGGCGGGAAAGATAACAAAAAAACTTATTGACCGATTGAAACGAATAAAGGCTTATTCTCTTTAGAATTAAATTCTCTTCTAAATGAACTAAAACGGTTGTTGAAAACCGCTTTTTATATTTTTTACAGCATGTTAAAGTCAATATTGCATTTTTCGGGATAAAATATTGACTTTAACATTTTTTACAGCATGTTAAAGTCAATATTGGATTTTTCGGGATAAAATATTGACTTTAACATGCTGTAAAAAATATAAAAAGCGGTTTTCAACAACCGTTTTAGTTTAGTGGTATATTCTTAGATAGTTTATCTATCGATTTAAGCAATAAAAAAAATCGATTTTTTTGCCTCCTAATTCAGGAAACTCCCTTAACCAAAGTGTGCAGATTAATGAGAAACTAACCGTTTTTGTCCGAATCCACACGTTTTTGAAAAAATCAAAATTTTCTAGTACCATATCAGTATGGTTTTTTTCAGTTTTTTTTTTTTGCTATAAACTCCAATTTTAGGCCTATTGTATTGAAATTTCGTTTGAATACCTTTTTTAAGCTCCCAAGAAGACCTACCAAATGATTTGGGGGACTATTTCATATAACTGCCATGTAACAGATCTGGCCGATTCGCCCAAAAAAGTTTTTTTGTTAAAACATATGTGGGAGTGATTTCACATTATCACTTCCTACCACACGAATATTGACGACGACCTGGACAACGAAAACGAGAAGACGACCCAAGTAAGAAAAACGGCAACGACGCAAAAAGACGACGACGACGATCGACAGGGAGAGGCCCTGCCCCAAGCAACGACGAACAGGGAGAGGCCCTGTCCCGAAGACGACGAACATGGAGAGGCCCCGTCCTGAGCAACAACGAGCAGTACGAGAGGCCCCGTCCTGAGCAACGACGAGCAGTACGAGAGGCCCCGTCCCGAGAGAAGACAGGCAGTACAAAAAGCCCTCTGCCGAGGGAATGATAGAGAGTTCTGCACAAGTGAAGACGAGAGTAAGACGTATTTATCCAACGACGCGACGACGATTATTGAAGCTGAAGAAACAAACATTTGTATTAACCTAAATTGAACTTAATATTAAAACTAAATAAAACTATCTAAATAAAACTATCACTATAAATAAAAACATCCCAAATATAACCAAATCATTTGAAACTTGGTAGGTCATCTTGGGAGCTTAAAAAATGTATACAAACCAAATTTCAAAGCAATAGCTTGAAAAACAAAAAAGTTGGTGCAAATCGGCCAGATCGGTTATATGGCAGCTATATGAAATAGTGCCCCAAATCATTTGAAACTTGGTAGTTCATCATAGAAGCTTAAAAAATGTATACAAACCAAATTTCAGATCAATAGGTTTAAAATTAGAGTTTATGCAAAAAAATACGCGAAAAAAACCATAGTGAGATGGACAGACGGACATGGCTAGATCGACTCGGCTGTTGATGCTGATCAGGAATAAATATACTTTATAGGGTCGGAAAGTTCTCCTTCACTGCGTTGCAAAATTCTGACTGAAATTATAATACCCTGCAAGGGTATAATAACGATAGTTTTACCAATTTTGCTAATGGAAAGATGTTTAAAAAATTAATTTCCCAATTCGAATTCGATTTAGTAATTCCGTATTGTACCTT